ATTGTGGCCAACAAATTACCGATCGTTTTATAAACACAACTGTTATCTAAAACTATCGTTAGTTGTCTTAATTGTTTCATTTGTTCAAAACCGCTGATTAATTGTTGAGATGTTATTGAATACTTATAAAGATTTTCCACAAAATAGGTATTATTTTCGACATATATGTCCAATGATGTCAATTGTTGGCCATAAGTGTCGGCAAACTTAGCAAACAATGAAAATGAATTGATGTCTAATTTCAATGTCATTGTTTGCAATGATTTCGGCAAAACATAACAATTATCGGCAGTAAATATATCAGACAATTGAATGTTATTGTTATTGCCATTGACTTTGATGTCCAATGTCTTTAAATTTGGCAAACAATCGATAAATTTATAAAACAATTGTTTATTGATTTGACAGTCCGTTCCTTTAATCGTAAATGAAAGCAACTTTTGGCCAAAACAGCGGCCAAATCGGTCAAAATTATCGCAACTATTCAACAATTGAAGATAATTGCTGTAAATTGTCTTAAAAGATAAGTGTCTCAATTGTGAACAGTTTTCAATTAATAAGTCAAATATATTTCCACTAAAATAGACGTGACTTATAATGACTGTTGTAATGTTTGGACACTTCTTTACCATCAATTCAAACAAATCCATTACTTGTTTATTATCTGTCAAAGTCTTTTCGGATAATTTATAAAATAAATTGTTATCAAATAAGAGATCAGTTTGTGTATTGAATATCAATGTTAACCACTTTTTGGACACCGATTGTAATCTTAATCTGTCATCGATTGGCAGATATTGAAGCAATAGTTGACACAAATCATCGCCGAAGCGATCAAACGAGTCCTTCATTGCTGTCATCAATGTTGTTGTTGTTGTGGTCATTGTCTTCAGTGATCTTTACTTTCCATGTCTTTCATATAGTCTTGTGTTTTAAAAAACATTTTCAATCAATTAAATCAATAAAATTTAATAAGATTTTAAAAAATATATCGTAAATAAAATGTTTATTAATTTTATTAGAAATTAAATAAAAAATCAAATGATAACAACAATAGACTACTAATTAATACTTACCATTGATTTTGCAAATCAATTGTTTTAATAATAATAATAATAATTGTATTCAACAAATATATACATATTTGTTACATAATTATTATGTTAATTAATTGACTAATAAATAAAATTCAAACAATTAATTAAATTTAATTATTTATAATTTTATTAATAATAACTAACATTTTTAATCACAATAATTAGGGTTTAGATATGAAAACTATTGGTAAGGTTTTTAGGGTTTCATTTGAAAACTTTACTAAACAAACAAATTAATTAATTAACTGTTGGTTTAATTTTAAAAAAAAAATAGTTTAAACAAATTTTTAATTTGTAATTCAAATAAATTTCTGGAAAAAATTATATTATATTTTTTTGTTAAATTAAAAATAGTTATTAAAAAAATAAATAATAATTAACTATTAAACAGCAGAATCTATTATCGGTTCGGTTAGTTGTTAACAATAAACTCTATCTATTGTAGATTACTATTAATTTATTATAACTAGGGTTAGATCAAATTCCCTCCCTCGTCTTATTTTCCATAAGTTCCTTATATTCCCTGTTCCCTGGGAAGAAATTAACTTGTGGTACCACCTATCGTACCCTAACTCACTTTACATAATGTTTAATTAAAAACACGTTTGTATAGTAAATGTCTACAAAATGTATTTAATGTTTTTACTAAATGTTTAATATTATTTGAATCACATTTTGATTGAGTTATTACAAACATAATGGTCCCAATTGAAACACATAGTCATTGAGATTAGGTACTTTTTAATGTATGACAAATTATATTTTCCCTTTCTAACGATCAAGGGAGGGAATATAATATATTTTCCATATTTTCCGGGAAAATCGGAGGGATTTTATTTGGGAACTTCCCTCCCTTGGTATCTCAATCTAACCCTAATTATAACTATTGCAATATTACAATACATGCTCTATAAATATATTTTTCAATTATTAATGCCATCTATTTATAGCATAATTAATATTCTAATTAAAAAAATTAATACTAATATTAATACAATTATTAATATATATATTTAATTTAAATATAAAATACTAACTTTAATAAAAATGTAATTAATATCTATTATTAAATAAAAAATACTGTTAATTAATAGTTATAATTTATAAATTTAAAAAAATAGTATTGTATTTTAATTAAAGTAGTAATAACTATATATTGATTGATTACAATTTATTTCAGTTAATTCTATAAATTGAATGATTATTATTTTTATGAGAAAATTAATAAACAAAACTAATTTTATCCAAATAAAACAAATAAAATATTAATCAATAGTTATTTATTAAATATTAAATAAAAAAAATACTGTATTAGTACTACTATTTGTCTAATACAGTATATTAAAAAGATAACCGGTAATGTTATTTATATTATTAATATCATAATAAAATAATAACTTATAAGTATACAGTATAAGCTATAAATATAATTACAGTCATCATAATCACTGCCCACTATAATTTAATAAATCCTATCATTAATAATATGATTAAAATATTATTTATTATAATTATTGAAGATATTTTCCACATTTAAATTCTTGATAACCTAATGTTAAATCAATGTATTGAATACACAAATGTTTAACTTTAGTACCAATTAGTAAATGTTGGGAAATAAATGATTCAGTTGTCTTCAGTTTGCTTCGATAGCAATAAATATAAACATCTATGAGATGTGCCAACTGTTTGATAGATGTAATCGACTCTTCAGTAATGATCACATCATCGAAATGTATAGACTGTAGTCGCGGAAGATTGCGGTGAATATTACGGAAAAACTGGTCACCGATTTGCTTAGCGTTATGTAACCGAAGTGTCAAATGTGTTAATCCATTTAATCGTTTTAACAAATCGTTGGTCAAAACTATGTCATTGTCATCATTTGAGAAACAATTCAGTGATAATCGTCTCAATTGTGGTGACATATGTCCAGTGATTGAATCAAACAAGCGGTCAATGGGCAACATATTAAATAAAATTAAATTAAATGCTTTTATTAGTCGACAGTTGCGGCCAATGGATGCCAACAGAGTATATAAAAAATCTAATTCAATATCGTATTCAAAATCAATAGTCAATTGTCTTAATTGTTTCATTTGTGTGAAACCAGTCATCAAAATGCGATAAAAATCTTCATTATTCATAAAATTATTAATAGTTATGTTCAATGATGTCATTTGTTGGCCATAAGTATCGGCAAACTTTTCAAACAATGGTTTTAACACTACATAGTCGTCCCCTTCGTAATCATAAAGCGTTAGTGACATTGATTGCAATGATTTCGGCAAAACATAACACTTATTGGCTGTAAATATATCAGACAATTGAATGGCATTATAATTGCTAAAGACTTTACAATCCATTGTCTTTAAGTTTGGCAAACAATCGATAGAATTATAAAACAATTGTTTAATTATTTGTATGTTATTTGCGTTAATCGTAAATGAAAGCAATTGTTGGCCAAAACGGCGGCCAAATCGGTCAAAAGTATCGCCACTATTCAACAATTGAAGATAATTGCTGTAAATTGTCTCAATAGATAAGTGTCTCAATTGTGAACAGTTTTCAATTAATAAGTCAAATATATTTCCACTAAATGAGACATCATTTATAATGAGTGTTGTAATGTTTGGACACTTCTTAACCATCAATTCAAACAAATTCATTATTTGTTTCTTATCTTTCAACGACTTTTCGGATAATTTATAAAATAAATTTTTATCAAATACGAGAAGTGTTTGTGTTGTGAATATCAATGTCAGCCACTGTTTGGACACCGATTGTAGTCTTAGTCTGTCATCGATTGGCAGATATTGAAGCAATAGTTGACACAAATCATCGCCGAAACGATCAAACGAGTCCTTCATTGCTGTCATCACTAGTGTTGTTGTGGTCATTGTCTTCAGTGATCTTTACTTTCAATGTCTTTCAGATAGTCTTGTGTTTTAAAACATTTTCAATCAATTAAATCAAAATAATAATAATAATAATAAGATATAAAAAAATATATTATATTTAAAATGTATATTAATTTTAATATGAAATCAAATGAGAAATCAAATGATAACAACAATACACTACTAATTAATACTTACATTGAATTTGCAAAACAATTGTTTAATAATAATAATAATAATTGTATTAAACAAATATAAAGTATTACACAATTATTAGTTAATTAATTAATTAATTAAAAATTCAAACAAATAATTAATAAAATTTTATTTATAATAACAAAACATTAATCACTAATCCGCTAGAGTTTAGATATGAAAACGGTTTTGGGTTTTATTTTATAAACATTACAAAACAAATAATTAATTTTGTTTTTTATTACATAGTATAAGAAATTTTTATTTTATTTTTTATTATGGCTATTTTAAATTGTATTAAATTTTTATTAAATTAAAAACGATTAGTTATAATAATAATAATAATAATATAAAAAACTATTAATCATTAAAAAATTGATTGTCGGTTCGGTTAGTTATTAACAAAATAACAATACAATTGTATTATACTTTCTATTGTAGATTATTTATATTATTTATTTACTGTAACTATTGGATACAATACTTGTACAGTCTAACCCGGTTATAAGAGAATTGTTGGTGCAACATTTTTTTGTCCCTTATATACGGGTTATCCTTATTACCGGGTTTTTTAAAAATCATAAAATATAGACTAATAACAGTTTTAATGATAAAAATCTGTGATTTTTGTTTGTTTCAATACATTGAATTTGTTTTTATAAATTTCATTTTCAAGAGAATTAATTAACTGAAAACAAGAATCAAATGCATTTCGTTGCGTAACATATAATCTAATAGTATTTAATGAGACAATTGCTTCATTAAGACTAATAGGTTTATCTACTAATAAGTCATCGCAATCCATGTCTTAATTTTCATCTGAATCTTGATTCATGTCTTCTGTCACATCACATACTCCTTGAGAGCTGTCGTTTAAAGTATCGGTTAATTGATTTGCGTTGATATTTGTCACAACATTATCATCAAATGAAATGTATTCATTGAAATCTATTTCACGTTCTGTTATATTATCACATAATTGTTGCCATTGATTATCAAAATCTTGTTCATCACTGCTTACAGTGGTTTCATTAATTGATTCACTTTCACCAATACCGCATTTTTTGAAACAATTTGTTATAATTTGAGAATTGATGTCATCCCAACTGTTAGACAACATTAATATTGCTTCATATAAAGTAATATTTTTAACATCAAACGAATTATTGTCTTCATATAAAGCTAACAATCGGCGGACAAGTTTTTTACGGTAATTACTTTTAAGGCAATGTATGACTCCGGCATCCATTGGTTGCAATCTTGAGGTTGCATTCGGTGGCAAATAAATTAATTTAACATTTGATAATTTGATTGATGGATGCGCTGAACAGTTATCCAATATAAGGGCTACTTTACGATCGCTCAAAATCATTTGTTTATTGAATTTATGCAAAAATTCAATAAAAATTTCAGATGTCATCCAGGATTTAGTGTTGTTTCTGTATATGACAGGCATTGACTTATTACCTCTAAAACTTCTTGGTTCTTTTGATTTGCCAATAACTATCATTTTAAGTTTGTGTGTACCGGTGCTGTTTGAACAGACAAATACTGATACTCTTTCTTTACTTTTTTTGCCATTTTTAAATGTCTGCCCTTTAATGACATACGATTTGCTTGGTGTTATGCGCCAAAAGAGACCCAACTCGTCACCATTGTATATATCTTCACACTTAAAACCTTCCAAAATCTGTGGTAATTTATTTGATATCCAATCATTGCAAAGTATGTCTGAGACTCCACTGGCTTCCCCGTGACTGACTTCAAAGACAACTTCATTTCGTTTTTTAAATCTATCAATAAACCCGTTATTTGCATTAAAATTATAATAACCAAAAGTAGGCGCTAATTGATTTGCTTTTTCCATAAGTAGGCCCGTATTTACGGGTAATCCATTTGTCGAACTGTTGGCCACAAACTCTACTAATGCCTGTTCCAGTTCAGGATAATTACATTTTCTTAATGACTTGACATTTGACGGTTTAGAGCTTATAAAGGCTTCAACTATCTTAACTCTTTGAGACTTAATTTTGTATACATTACGGGATGTTAAGCCGTAATCACTAAACTTTTTCACGATTTCATCAATAGACTGATTGTTATCAATTAATGTCACAATTTTATATTTTAACTCCAAATCAAATCGTTTTCTCTTTTGTTTTGCCGACATTTTGTCAAATAAATTATTGCAAATCTATTTATTATTAATAACATATATTACAGTTTTCAAGTTTTATAGCTAAATATCTTATACACTGCTAATGTAATAATATTAAAAAATTTATTAATTAACATTTATTACAGTTTTCAAACATTTTTCTCTTATATCCGATGCAGTTTTGTTATAGTAGTGCACAAATATACTGTCCCTTATATCCATAATTCTCTTATATCCGAGTCTCTTATTAACGGGTCTTTAACATTATGAATCCCATAGAGACGGTCGGTGCACTGGAAATCTGTCCCTTATATCCGATTTACCCCTATTACCAGGTAGCTTATAGCCGGGTTAGACTGTATTAATATTAGTATTTTTTTTAATTAAAATATTAACTCTAATGTATGTCTAGAAAACAGTATGTCTAGCAAACACTTTATAGTTAGGCATTAAATAACGCTTAAAACTTATAGAAAACACAATTATTTATAACAAACCCTATGTATAACAATGTATTTGAATTGATATTTTTAATACAAGCGCTTAATGTTTAAGTGTTTAATGCTATGTAGGCGGGGCTTAAAGTGTTACACAGTTATTATACACATTATACTTAAATTTATATATATACTGTATATTTAATATATATAATCTATGGTAAATATATGCTTCGCGTTATGAATTTAGATATTAAATTAGACTAGACATATAAATCGGATAACTTTTATGAACCAAACCTAAATAATAATGATAGAGACATAATTATAAATAAACCTGTTTTTAATAAATAACAATTAAATGTTAGTTTAAATGAAGTTTTAAAAAATAATTTTTGTATTATACATGTAAATGTTGTATTATATAAAAATAAACAATACCGAACCGAAACCGTGCAATACATTTACAGTTTACATCTCTAGTTGACACTTATAATAAAACTATATAAACAATGATATCCTACCCATTAATATATTGTAATAGTATTTATTAATTGTTATTTAAGTGTTTTCTTGAAATACTGTTTTCTAGACATACATTAGAGTAATTATGCTATAAATAGATGGCATTAATAAATGATAAATATATTTATAAAGCATGTATTGTAATAGTTATAATAAATTAACAGTAATCTACATTAGATAGAGAGTACTTAGTTAATTAATTTTAAGTATTATTAATTAGTAAGTAAAACTAATTAATAAAATAAATAAAAGTATAAACAAGGTCATCATAAATTTCATAAGAATATTAAATATATTATATATATTAAAAATCGATATAATAAAATAGTAAAATTACATACAATACTTACTTTTACAATAACTAATTAAAACTAATTAAAGTTTTATGTATATATAATAGTATAATGTTATTATCGTAAACAAATTAAAAAGCTTATTGTTTATAATAATTTTGTTACATTTAATAATTCAAAATTATTTTTAAAACAATATATTGCATTTAATATAGCATATGATAAAATAATATTTAAAAATAATATTTATTATACATTTTTTACAATTTAATATTTTACAATTAGTTTACAGTTTTTATATTATTGCAAACTATAATATTTTGTTTAATAGATTTTATTTAATGTAGTTTTCTTAACGATTTTTAAAAATAATAGAAATAAAAATCCTAAAATCTATAGATATATGATATTTTTTATAAATAAAAAATGTTAATATATTTTAAATAGATTATTAAAAAAAACATTTTATACATACTTTATATGATCTGAAGTAATCAATTGTAAACCATTTCCAACACGAAAAACCAACCCTTTTCTGTGCCGTCCTCTCTATTAATACCAATAACTATATGATAAGGCGTGGTTCACATATTACGTTCGCACTTTTTAAGAAATCTAGACCCCCTCCCTCCCCTATGTTCGCAATTGTTCGCTTGTAGTCATTTAAAAAAATTACGTTCGCTTATCCCTAACCACTACCCCCCCCCCACCACAAGAAATAAGATATTATCTAAATGCGAACGTTCTTAAAGTCTCTATCCCTCCCCTCCCCCTCGTTCGCAAAAGTTCGCTTTGGCTAACCCCCCCCTCCCCTCAAGTGCGAACGTAATATGTGAACAACGCCTAAATAAATAGAAATTAAAAAAAATATTTATATGTATTATAAAAATGTTATCAATTAATACAACTTTTAACTTATGTTTATTTGAAATACGTTTACTATTATAAGTTAAAAAATTATTCAATAATTTATATGTTTTATTAGCCGTAGTCGTCAACGACGATGCCGTAAATATAATAATTATAAATATAATGCTATAAACAATAAAACTATAAATAAATATAATTTTTGTTATTAAGTTTAATGATGCAAAAAATATATTATATAATACTATAACATCCACTGATCCTATTATTAACCAAAAATATAGCAATAATTTTGACCAAAATGTTACATTATAATCATTTATTTCTAAAAATAAACGATCAAATGCACTGATAATACCAGATATTTTCAATTTTTTATATTTTTGACAGATAATTAATTTTTTACATAAATCATTGATTTTGAATCTTAAATATCGACATAATATAGTAAAATAAATTAATTGAAATATAATTTGATTCCAGAAATAATAGCCCAAAAACATATAATTGATTGCATTTGGTATACCATATAATAGGGCTTTAGTTAGCGATAGGGATAATAAATATATTGTTATAATGCCTATAATGTAAATAATTGGTATAATTATATTATTGTTTAGCTGACAATACCAGCAAATGAATCTCATTTGTTTGATTAGTTTCAAAATTATCAAACGATTAGTAAAACCAATGCTAACGGGTGTAACCAAACCGGACATCATTTTGAAAACCATCAAAAATGTCGGTTTAATACCATTGAAATAATTCATCGAAAATATCAATTGCGATGCTATAGCCAATAGTGAACATAATATAATAATTAAATTGTTAATAATTTTTACACCCATTAAATAACCAAAATCGCCTAATAGTGCATAAAATTGCCAATTTTTGTTAGTAAAAACTAAACAAACAAATATTTTGATATAAAAACATATTATAGATTATAAATGAAAAAATTGGTTTATTAAACCATTTTCTATGAATTTGATTATTATTATTATTATTATTATCAATTAATTCAATACATAATCCAATGCGATATAAATGAAATGCTGCCGATTTGTATGCAATATTTGGTGGCAAACATTTTTTGACATCAAAATTATACATTTTTATCTATACTAGTAGTATAATATACAATGATGTTTATATATATTCAATCAATTTTAGTTATATTCTGTATAATGTGTTTAATAAAAATTAAATATATGTATTATATAAACTAAAACACTTTATACAGTATAATAGTTAATAATAATCAGGTAATCAATATACAGGTATTATAATAGTCAAAAAAATAATTGATATGTTATTAGAAATATATTTTTTTTTGTAGCATAATTTACTAATTAATAATTTACATCTATTTTATTATTGAATAAATGATTATTATAATTATTTGCTAACACGAATTATCAATATAAAATAATAATTTATGCTTATTTCTATTATGTTATATTAAATATTATTATCGACTTTCAATGTATAGAATATTATGATTAAATTAAAATTTTATATAAATTAATATATTATGTTAGTTATTAGCAATTATTATATTAATTAACATTCAGATAATTAAAATTAACTATTAAGTTAATAGTAAATGTATTTAATAGTATTTTTTCAAAAAATGTTTTCTAGCATTTTAATATTTTTAATGCAACGTATAAATTTATAATATATTAATATTTTTATGAAAATTTATGATGACCTTGTTTATACACTTTTATTTATTTTATTTAATTAGTTTTAATTAATAACTAATAATACTTAAAATATTATTAATAGCTAAATATAATTAAACTTTACAATTATTTTCTTTAATGATAACAAAAATTTTTTTTTATAGAAAACACATTTATATATATAAATACTGTATTTTTTTAGTTGAATACTTAACTATAAATAATAATTATTAAAAAAACTACTTATAAATGTGATTATATATTAAAAATGTAAGTAACTAAATAATAATAATAAAATTAATGAAATTAAAGAAAAATAGTTGTAAATATTTTTTATTATTATTTATTTATATATTTTAGCTCAAAATATAATAGTAAAGGTATTTCAACTAAATTTATATATAAGATAAGTTTTTTTATCATTTAAAGCATTGATTGATTTACGGTAATAATTATATTTTTATTATTAAATTAAAACTTTTGTTACAATCAATTTTCTTTAATCCATTGAATATTTATTATTTTAATAAAAAAATTTATTCTTAATATATAAATTTTTATATTATCGATAATTATTATTATTATTATAGTATAATATAAACTTTATATATATATATATATATATTTATTTATTTTTCTCTATTTTTCTATAAATATATCAAAATCTATTTCATTGAAAATATTCGGCTAAACGTCACTAAATTATAATTAGAATTAATATATTTACCAAATCTAAAGTCTTTTTTTAATTGATTTGATTCATTGTATTGAATATACAAATGTTTAACATTAGTATCAGTATTGAGTAAATGATTAGAAATAAAGGATTCAATTGTTGTCAATGAGTTTGGATACAAACAATCCGATAGACAGACATGTGTCAGTTGAGCCAACTGTCCCATAGATTGGATCAACTGTTCAGTGATGGACAAGTAATCACAGTTTATATACTGTAGTCGCGGAAGATTGCGGTGAATATCATGGAAAAAGTGGTCACCAATTAGATCCTCTTTATATAACCGTAGTGTCAAATGTGTCAATTCTTTCAATCGGTTTAACGAATCGCTGGTCAGTAGAAAATCATTGTCATATGAATTGTATCGACAATCCAGTGTTAGTCGTCTTAATTGTGGTGACATATGTTCATTGATTACGACAAACAAGCCATCAATTATCTGATTTGATAACTTAATTGATTTTTTTGATGTTAAGTTAAATGATTTTAGTTGTCGACAGTTTTGGCCAATAGATGCCAACAATGATTTAATAAAATCTAATTTAAAATCATAATCCAATTTAAAAGTCAATTGTTTTAATTGTTTCAATTGGGAAAAACCAGTTATTAAAATGTTTAATAAATCTTCATCATTGTCCTCAAAATTATCAATAGTTATGTTCAATGAATTAATTTGTTGTCCATAAGTATTGGTAAACTTATCAAACAATGTCAACACATTATCTTCAAGTTTTAGTGACAATGATTGAAATGATTTTGGCAAAACATATGACTTATCTTTAGTTAATATATCAGACAATCGGATACTTGTATTTCCATTTCTTTTAATATTTAATGTCTTCAAGTTTGCCAAACAATTCAAACATTTATAAAACAATTGTTTGTTATAATCTTCGGTAAAACTTCCGTTAATATCAATTGTAATCAATTGTTGGCTAAATTTATGACAAAATCGATCAAATAGTTTATCACTACAAACTGTTTGTCGACTATAGTTTGACATAAAATATAAGTGTTTCAATTGTGAACAGTATGTTATGATTAAGTCAAACAAATTATCAGAAAAATACATATCATTTATAGTTAGTGTTGTAATGTTTGGACACTTTTTGACCAACAATTCAAACAAATCAATAGTCACTTTCTGATCATTTCTCACTGATGTCTTCAATAGCTTTTTATTAAATACCAGATATGTTTGTTTAGTGAATATTAATGAAATTAATTCATTGAACTGTTTGGACACCGATTGTAGTCTTAGTCTGTCATCGATTGGCAGATATTGAAGCAATAGTTCCGCCAAATCATCGCCGAAGCGATCAAACGAATCATTTGCTTTAGTCGTCATTTTTGTTGTTGTTGTCTTCAGTTACTTGTGTTTTAAAATCTATTCAATTAAAAAAAAATTTGTTTAAAAAAATATGAAATAAAACTTTAAATTCAATGAAATTCAAAACATAATACTAATATAAGTGATTATTAAATCAATAATTCTAATAATAAGGTGTATTCAGCAAAAAAAAAATATTCAATTAATACAATACCTGATCTAATAATAATTTAATACTAAAATAAAATACTAGAAAAAAGTTATAATAATATTAATATTATAAATAATTTTATATTTATACTAAATTATTACATTATACTACTTGTATTATAAGTACAAGTTGTACCAAATTATTAAATTTTATTGCATTATTTATTGCATATTATGATAGCAATGATATACAACAATATATAACTGTTTTAGTTATTGTATAAAATATATGATACAATCTTATCTATCATATTAGTATAATTCATAGTTATTTAATCCTATATTAAGTTATTTATTGGATTTATGATAAAAAAATGTTAAATTATAAAAAAAAAGTTGATATATAAAAACAATATTTTTATCAATAACGGTAATAATATTTTATAATATTCACTATAACTATATCTATATACTGTATATACAAAAATATATTGCATTATTAGATTGAAATTTAGAAAATATATTTTGAAAAAAATAATATAACTGTATTATAATATATTTTTGTGTTTTATTTTATAAAATATATAATCATTAGTATAATTCAGAGTTATTTAATCCTATATTAAGTGATTTATTGGATGTGTGATAAAAAAACTGTTAAATTATAATATTATACATTTGATATATACAGTATATATAAATATAAACAATACAGTATAAAATTTAATGCCATTTATTTATTAAATATAATATTAATTCAATTCAATACAATCACTGTTCCTATTATTATATTTGTATGATATATAATGAAATTACTAAAAAACTAAATTAAATTTACAATCATTAATCATTATAATAACTTGTTGTAAAAAATCAATTAAAGTTTATCATTTAATTTTTATGAATTACCTAAATAAACATTTTATTTTATAAATTATCTAAAATGTAATTATAATTTATATATAATTTCCGAGATTTAAATACAGATTGTATACAATCTATTGAAACCTTATATTTAATATAAGAGTGTTTAAACTTTAGTACCAATTAGTAAATAATTGGTTAGAAATGATTCACTTTCTATCAGTTGATTAACCGAGAGATAAACATCCATCAGATGTGCCAACTGTCCCATCGATTGGGTCGACTTCTCAGTGATGGACGGATTTCTGCAATGTATTGACTGTAGTCGCGGAAGATTGCGATGAATATCACTGGAAAAAAACTGGTCACCGATTTATACACAACTGATCTAATCGTAGCCACAAATGTGTTAATCCGTTTAACAATCGTTTTAATAAATCGCTGGTCAATAATAACTAATTTTCAATCTTCCAATTGTTTACCGATTTCATTGATAATCGTATCAATTATTTAGACATTATTGTAACTATTGGACACTACTGTACAATACATGCTTTATAAATATATTTTTTCAAATATTAATGTTTGTATCTATTTATAGCATAATTAATATTCTAATTAAAAAAATAGACTAATATTAATACAATTAATAATATATACTGTATTTAATTTATATATAAAATACTAACTTTAATAAAAATGTAATTAATATCTATTATAGTAGTATACATAGGGCTATATCTGGAAAGTTACGTAATAAGAACATAATTATGTTTAAAATATGTTACGTAATATAATTACTTATAAATCAACTATTTAAGAGATCATGCGTAGTATCTCAACCGCTATTGGGTCAGTCTATACATTGGGCTACATCTGTTACGTAATAAGTTTAAATACAATTAATATGTTAATAATTGTGTTACGTAATATAACAAATAATAATTAAATTATTTCAGCGATCATGCGTACTTTGCTTCACTTCGCTTTACTTTACTTTACTTTACTTTACTTCGCTTCACTTTATTTTTATTTACTTCGCTTCGCTTTATTTTACTTCGCTTTACTTTACTTTGTTTGATTTTACTTTACTTCGCTTCGCTTTACTACACCACGTTTGGTTTTATTTGTTTGGGTTCTGCCTTTTGATTTTAATTTTGGTTTTGGCTTTGGCTTTGGCTTTAGTATTAGTATTAGTATTAGTATTAGTATTAGTATTAGTATTAGTATTAGTATTAGTATTAGTATTAGTATTAGAATTAGTGTTAGTGTTAGTGTTAGTGTTAGTGTCAGTGTTAGTGTTAGTGTTAGTGTTAGTGTTAGTGTTAGTGTTAGTGTTAGTGTTAGTGTTAGTGATAGTATTAGATTTGTCTAGTTTCGACTTTTTATTTGTTTTTAATTTTACATTTGATTATTAGTCTCGGTTTTGGTATAAGTATATTTTATTATCAGAAATTTTAGTTACGATGTCTGATATGTTAAGACTTTCGTATGACGAATTATGTGAAGATGATGTGTTTTGTTTGGAAAATTTCGAAAAATATTTTAATAGTTGGGCAGAAGAATACGATAAATACTTAGGTTTAGAGATGGCGCTAAAAAATCGAAAGCGTATAACAGATATCTAGATTTCATCACGAGAAAATAAACGGTCGCTGGCGTTGGAATTCATTTGGAATCACTTATTATAATACCATCAAAAAGTATTACGCCGTTTCGCTTTACGGTCCGCAAACACTGAAAAACAACAAACAATATATGAGCACATTATTACATGAGCTAACACATGTTCTTCATCATGTGAATGGTCCAACTGCTGAATGTCCAGATGGTCACGAAATTTGGTTCATGAAAAAGTTACGTGAGGTATATATTGCCGCAAAAGATAAATTTGACTTTTATGTTAAAGATTCGACAGCTTCTCGATTTTTTACAGAAATAAATTCCAAACCAATTAAAGAGTTAATTATCTCTTCAAAGACAACCAAACGTCAGATCGAAGATCACTGGCAAGATTACAGAGCAAAAGCTGTTATACAGAGCAAAATATGATAGACACGAACTTATGGCTAATATTGAAAGTTTGGAAAAAGATTTGGCAGAGAAAAAGTCAAAGTTGTATGAATTAGATAATTCAAACACATCACCATCTGTTTCCAAATATGTAATTGTAACTCAACCGTCCATCACTGTACCTCCAATCATCTCCGTCAACAAAGTATTACAAAACAATACAACACAAACAGACAAAACACAGTTTTTTGATATTCAGACTTAAACCAAATTTAGTATCACATCAACCGAAACACAAACTTACGTCAATCCCGCCGATGACGACGACATTCAGTTAGTCTTCGATAGAAAAAATAATAAATGTGTACAAACTAATTTCAGAAATTAAATTATGTGTAAATAGTATTAAAAAAATCATAAAATTATAAAACCCAAAAAAAAGTATTTTTATATACAGTATAAGTATCAATCGCTTGGACAGTCTCTTTGCTAGTATTAATAGTACAAACCCTTGGTGTAAATGCACTAAATATACTATTAGTTAAATTTAGGTACAATAAATACTCATTACATAAGTGTAATAAAAGCATTTTTTAGACATGCGCAAGTGTTGCCAAAACACATGTCATTTAATTTAATAACATACGCGACAGCGAAAAGTATGCAACGATGTCGTTGACAACAATATCGATGATCAGCGATGATGAAGAAGAAGAATCGTATGAGACGCACGTCCAGCGTAAGAATGTGACCAACAGTGGCAACAATTGCGTCAAAACTATCGCAAACAATGTTTGCTCGACGACAACTGCCCACACGATTATCACTAACAGCGAACACAAGTTTGCCGATAAAAATGTTGATAATAATGGTATTGTAAGTGACAAACAAATTAACGACCCGTTGAATACCGACGACAATACTGTTGACGAAGCCTTTGCCAATGGAAACGGTACTCATTTGTTGGCAAACATTACGAAAGTCGCCGATATCAACGACAATAATGATACCAATTCTATGTCAATGGATACGAACGGGTGGCCATCAGATGACAATATGACCGATAATGACCCGAACACTAATCTAATACTGAACGGTAGTACAGGAGATCAATTGACACCAATCGATGACAACAATTACGAAAATGAAGGCAAAGAAAATGAAGAGAAAGTTATGGACGAAGAAGTTGAAGAACAAGAAAACAACAACAACAATAATATTGTTGATGTGTCCACCAAAATACGTACCGACTTTACCGAGGTTATTTTGTTTTTATTATAATATAAGATACATTTTGTTTATTTAATATTATTTTTGTTTGCTTGTGATATTGGTTGATAACACAGGTTGAGGATAAAATAGTTGTCTATCTATACACAAAAGTACATAAGCGTAGAATTATTGACATTAAATACTTCAACGATGCCCTCCAAGTCCGCTATAAGGGCCAAGAATTTGATCCGATGGACATTACTAATGACACCTATGACAATGTTATATATAAGTGGCGCAAAATATTACAGTAAATAATTCCTTTATTTTAAAAATATTCAAATCATTTAATTTTATTTTTTTATTCATATTAGTGGCCAAATAGAGCCCGATTTATGTCATCATAAGGAGAAAAAAGAAAGGATTGAGATAACAGTAATCAAAAAGGACAAGAAATTCAAATGGAATGCATTCGAACGTACGGTTAATTCTGGGGTTGTATATAATAACGGGTGGCCAACAGAGGCCAATGAGACCGCGCTGTCGCTAAACAACGCTCGATCATCACTGCAAACACTGTCACATATATGGGAGACCAATCAGTCATCAAAGCCATCAATACATGTATCCTCTTCTCGAAGTGTGTCTCGAAACACTAGACGTGATAATAGTTTATCAACATTTGACACAAAGATTAATGACAGTAAAGAAAATATGTCACCAAATAGTCGTAATAGAGATAACAGTGACAGACAAAGGATAACAGTTTAGACTACAAACTCAGATAATCAGACTCAACATAAATCATTGTCGATGACGTCGCCGACTCATAATTGTTTAAATTGCAAAAAACAATTTAAAAATCAAAGCGCACTATCGAAGCACAAATTGACTCATACGTATGAACGTCGATTTGTTTGCAATATTTGCGACAAAGCATTCAAACGTTCAGATCATTTGAAGAATCATTCATGGGTTCATTTAAATGAAAACAAATATAAATGTGATGTCAATGATTGTAATAAATCTTATAGTGATTTACGTTATTTGCAATCACATAAAAATAATAGTCATAACAAATCAAATATTAATAAAAAAATAAAATTAACAACAACAATAACAGCAGTTCCTAATAGTGATGTCGAAGATAACGAAGACATTGAAGAAGACATTGAAGAAGACATTGAAGAAGTCATTGAAGAAGTCATTGAAGAAGTCATCGATGAAGACATTGAAGAAGACATTGAAGAAGACATTGAAGAAGACATCAATAAAAAATCATTTCAATATTCTATGACTGATAGATCCGAATTTGTAACATTATTTTACAAAACAAAAAGTTCTAGAAAAGCTGCAAATATGTTTAAACATTTACATCCAAACAAATCCAAACCAAGCCCTACTACGGTTTTAAATGCCGTTAATTCATTTGAAACCCGAGGAACCGTTGAAAATAAGAGATATACTAGAGAAAATCAATCGCTTCCTATAGAAATAGAAAAAGTGATTATTGAGGATTACAAAATAAATCCAATACAATCAACGTATAAAATGGCTATTAAATATGAAATTTCTCAGTCATCAGTAAGAAATATATTAAAGAAAGAAAAATATTTTCCGTATAAATTGAAAACAATGCAACCACTGAAAGAATTAGATTACAACAAACGCATTACTTTTGCGCAAGAAGTATTGTCAAAAATCAAAGAAGATGCAAGTTTTTTGAGAAAATTAGCGATATTTGACGAAAAATATTTTGTTATTAATGAAAAACCAAATATTCAAAAGTATCGACATTATGTACCTTATGGCTCGAATCCAGATTTTGTACGATATTCAAATGATCAATCAGCTACTGGTGTGATGGTTATTGCAGGAATATGGGGTGATCGAATATTAGGACCATTTTATTTTCAACAAAATGTTACCGGTCAATCATTTACTAATATGTTGGAAACACAAATATGGCCTCAAGTAAGTCAATATGAGGGCAGTGATGAAGTCATATTCATGCTAGATGGCGCCCCAGGTCACTATGCAAGAGTTTCTCGTGATTGGTTGGATTTACATCTTCCCAATCGATGGATTGGTAGAGGGAGTTCGTTCATTAAGTGGCCTCCTAGATCATGTGACGTTACCCCCATGGACTTCTCGATTTGGGGTATAGTACGTGATGATGTGGCCATTAAAATTTATGAAAACGTAGATGAACGTCATTTGCAACTATTCGACCAAAAACTCTACGAAAAATTAGACGTAATATGTTGAAAAGACTTCATTATTTAATTGAGTTTCAAGGTCGAAATTTTGAAAAATATATTCATAAAAATATTATTGATTTATTTATTATACTAATCATTTGAATTATATTAATTTTAAATGTGATATAATTTGTTATTATTATTAAATACAAATAAAATTAATTGATATGATTATATTATATAGTAAAAGATTAACGATAGCATGTGATGTTTATATGATAAGTGATTCAATAGTTTCATTTCAATGGGAAGCAGACATCGACAGACATGTCATCGATTATCGTCGTCGGTAGCGATAGTGGACGCACTGTATTTGGTTGAAACAGTTTTATTGGACGTCCGTTGAATGCTGGCAACAGTTGTGGCGACGGTTTGTGACGATGTCGTCGTCGTCTTCTTTAATGACTTTTGATTAGAATATCGGACACCATTGGCAGCTAATTGGCGGCTCATGTTCGCTGACAACGACAACGCCATTAGTGTCCATCGGATTATTTCTGCCTCCGGTGACTGTATTCTCCAAGTTTTCTCTATTGTTTTCCACAAGTTGGCCACAATAGGCAATAATGACAACGACTACGATAACGATGTCTTAGTCGTCGATGAACTCTGCGTCTCTGTTGTCGCGCATACGTCGTCTATTTGGCGACTGACTGCTGACCACCAAATCATTTGTACTTTTTCTGACTTTTTGGTTTTAATTGTAGATTCCAGAAGTAATAGTCTATTAATAAATGTCTTCAGTTCTTCTGACTAAATTAATCACATATATCAGATCCACATTTAATGTATCACTATTTTCTTCATTAGTGACATACGATATGAGTGCTGAAGAAATGGCAAACTCTGATCTTTCGATTAGTGATTCCAATTCTAAATCAATCAGATCTTGTTTTAATGTGTCAAACGATTGGTTGACTAAATCAAGTGGCGGTGGTATATAACCCCAGACTTGTTGATTGTCGACATAGAGATCTATATGCTAAGTTGCTATAAGTGCCCAACGAGTAGAGCATCGGTGCCACGGCTATCATATCTTCCGTATTAGTGGTCAACAAAGTCAAAAATACATTTGGATTCGTTAGGATAACACCCGAATCAATGAATAGGACATATTGTGACCAATTTTGTCGGGCCGTCTTCATTGCCAATGTCTTCAATTGGACTAATAGTTTAAAACGACTAGTAGTCCAATATCTATAGCCATCGACTTCGGGTAACACTTCTTCATAATGGATTGATAATGTCGTCCCAATACTAACTCTATGTCACTATAATGTCAACGGTTGTGATGAATCCATTTCTTCAGCATATCGATTGTCAACTGATTTATATCAATCATGTCTTCAGTAATTTTATCGGACGACGACAACTCCAGCAACTGTTCCGTTGCAATCCATAGTTTGATCCGATGTTTCGGATATAATTGTTATTCAATTGATCCCAATTTGCTTTATTAAACGGATGAACTAATAAAACCAATTGAATTTTGGCAACAATCGGTTGTCTTCACCAAAATCATTGTCATCATTATCACCATCGATGGCCACCAAACAACTTATATCATTGAATTTAATTAATAATAATAATAATATAATTGACAATAATTTTCTCACAAATAACATTGTTATTCAAATTCAATTTTTATTTTAATTAAACAAATAAATAAATAAATAATTTTTTAATTGTAATTGTTTGTTATGTAAACAAAAACAAAACAAAATTTTTATCCATTTCTATATCAGTAAATAAAAAATATATAATTAAGTTTTATTGCTATTTATTTTTAATGTGTTATACTGTACTATAACACTAGGTCCTTGGTGTTGCACAACTGTCCAAGTGATTGATACTTATACTGTATATATATTTTGGGGTGAGTGTACTTGTAATAATTTTAAGATTATGTTTGCGGAGCAGTTCCACACTTTCCTAAAAACATCTATTGATAATTATAATGTCACCAAAAAAATTTCATAACATTTGATCTCAGGGACGGGTGTTTTTTGGGGGTTCAAAGTTTGATATTTTTTGTATACCTCCCATTATAATCAAAATTTATTTTATTTAATAACTATAAAATTATTTGTCCGATTGATCTAAAATTTAATATATATGTGTAAAATTATATTATTTATTAAAATATATTAATTAAAATATTAATTTCCAAAATTTGCTTAACCGCGCCTGCTACTTTATTTTAATTATTTCAATACATGCTTTATAAATATATTTTTTAATTATTAATGCCATCTATTTATAGCATAATTAATAATCTAATTAAATTACTACTAATATTAATACAATTATTAATATATATATATTTAATTTATATATAAAATACTAACATTAATAAAAATGTAATTAATATCTATTAATATCTAAAAAATACTGTTAATTAATATTTATAATTTATAAATTAAAAAATAGTATTTTATTTTAATTATTTTAATTTTTATTTTAATTAAAGTAGTAATAACTATATATTTATTGATTACAAGTTATTTCAATAAATTCAATAAATTGAATGATTATTATTTTTTGAGAAAATTAATATAAAAAACTGATTTTATCAAAATAAAACAAATAAAATATTAATCAATAGTTAGTCATTAAATATTAAATAAAAATACTGTATTAGTACTACTATTAATGTTAATTATATTATTTATATCATAATTAATATTATAATAAAACAATAACTTATATATTATTGATAAATACTAGTACAGTATAAGCTACTGTATAAATATAATTACAGTCATCATAATCACTGCCCACTATAATTTCATAAATCCTATAAAGTAATAATATCATTCAAATATTATTTATTATCATTATTGAAGATATTTTCCACATTTAAATACTTGATAACCTAATGTTAGATCAATGTATTGAATACACAAATGTTTAACTTTAGTACCAATTAGTAAATGTTGTGAAATAAATGATTTACTTGTCGTCAGTTTATTTCGATAGCAATAATTATAAAGACAAACATCTATGAGATGTGCCAACTGTTTGATAGATATAATCGATTCCTCAGTAATGATCACATCATCGAAATGTATAGACTGTAGTCGCGGAAGATTGCGGTGAATGTCACGGAAAAACTGGTCACCGATTTGCTTAGCGTTATGTAACCGAAGTGTCAAATATGTTAATCCGTGCAATCGGTTTAGTGAACCGCTGGTCAATACTATGTCATCATTTGAAAAACAATTCAGTGATAATCGTCTCAATTGTGGTGACATATGTTCAGTGATTGCGGCAAACAAGCGGTCAATCGGCAAATTATTTAATAAAATTAAATTAAATGTTTTGATTAGTCGACAGTTGCGACCAATGGATACCAACAGAGTATATAAAAAATCTAATTCAATATCGTATTCAAAATCAATAGTCAATTGTTTTAATTGTTTCATTTGTGTGAAACCAGTTATCAAAATCTGATAAAAATCTTCATTATTCATACAATTATCAATAGTTATGTTCAATGATGTCAGTTGT